ATTTGTGGTGCCAATAGACGAAGTGTTTGATTCTCTTACGTTCTTAGTGATATTGAGTACTATGCCCCACCGCCTATCAAGCTATGAGTACATGCATTTCTTGGTGATGAGAACATAAGGGCTTGTTATTAAAAAAAACTGGACCATAATTTATTTATTTTTATAATGGTGGGTTCTTAATTTGCCAAACTTGACACGACTCACCAGACACTGCCTGCGTTTAACTTTAATCACCATGAACACTTAAATTGACATTTTAGATGGCTTTTAGAAGCATGTGAATAGAGAAAATAGTAGGCTAACTTATGAAACATTTCTTAGCCTACTCCAAGATCTTTAAGAAATAGTTCCAGGTTTACAAATAAATTTCATCCTATAAGTTGGAGAGGAAATATCGAGAAAGAAGGGTAAGCAAAATCAAGTATGACAATACAAGAACAAGCTAGAATAACTCGTTTATTTACCATTAAATTCTTTATAATTTATCAATGACTCTTTTGGCATTAATAGTGTATTAGTGTAGGAATGAATGTTGGCATTTTTACATCTACTTCGAGTTACTGCATGTACACATTTTCTCAATAAGAGCTTGTTTGGTAAAGATTAAAATTGAAAAATTAGCCTCTATTGTTGACTTTTATTAGACGAGTGAGACTCAATAACAGCTATATTTTCAATTTTAATTGAATTAAAATTCCTTCTAAACAAGCTCTAAATCTTTGTAGCCAGCCATCTCAGTTTTGTTTGGAGTCCTACAATCCATTTATAGACCATTCCATGGTCTAGTGGCACTTTGGGCTAATGTAAAGTATCGAGCCCAAGTAAAAAAAATTGGGCTAGGCTATAAGTGCAGGTCATGTTAAACATTTTAGACAGTTCAAGCCCATCAAAGAATTCAGATTGGACCAAATATATCCCAATGTCACGTCACCTGATCTAGTGCCGACAAGCAGCCCTCCCCATTACTTACCCCACAAGCGGGATGGGATTAAAAATGGAACAATGTTATCTACTATAAAAAAAAAAAAAAATATCAATTTAGATTGTATTAATGTGATATTAAATAAAAAAAAATACAAATAAATGATATATTAAATGAGTCATTTAATTATAATTTCATCAAGATTATCAAATAGCGTCACCTGGTTCTTAAAAATCTCAATTTCCTGTCTAATTTAGATATTTATTATTTTTATGCTTTCATTGTTTAAATAAAAATATAAGAAAATAAAAAATAAAGAGTTAAATGAGCCAGGTCTTCATCCCTATTCTTCTATCAAATTGGAAAGGATAATTGCATTCACCTCACAGTATTTTATAAATGAACTACATTTTAATTGTATTAAATGTGGTGTTCTAAAAGACGTAATGTGTGGCAATGCATAGAGACCAAATTATGGACCAGACGAATTTAAGCGAGGTATATGCGTAAAAAAGCATAAAACGACTTTTTTTTTTTTATAATCAATCAAAAAATCATTTAATAATTAAAAATAATACCTATCAAACATTTAAAACAAATTTATAAAAAACTTATACATTTTTTCGAAAATTTTCAACAAAAAAATAAGTTTCAAATGCAAATCGATCTTTAAGTTTTTATTTAAAAGAATTGTAAAAAAAATTATAAGAAATAATAATAATAATAATAATGTGCGTCTAGGCACGCATAATCACGCCTAGGCGCCCATTGGTGGTCAACAATTACTGTTGATCACTAAATGAGTCGGCTTGACGTTTTCGTCGCGCATCATGCCTAGGTGTTGTCTTGCTTTTTAGAACACTGATTAAATGTGATTAGTCTTTACTTAATGAGCATTGATACTCCCTCCGTCCTAATTACATAGACTTATTTCGTTTTTCACAAGGATTAAAAAAGCTTCTTTAATATTATTGGAAAATTATTTTTTGTTAAGATCTTTCATAGTTTACCTCTACTTAATTTTCAGTATGTAAAATTAAATTATTATTTGAATTAATAAAGAATTTGAAGAAGAAAAAGAAATGAGAGTTGTTCCATGTTTCCAAAAAGTGAGACATGTGTGTATTAGGATGATTTCAAAAAATTAGCATATTAAGTGGGGAAAATTTAATAATGATATATTGGTAAAAGAACACAGCAAAATATTGTACATTAGGAAACATGCCTATATATTTGGGACAAAAGAAAAATGAAATTTAGCCTATATAATTGGGACGGAGTGAGTATTAACTTTTTGAGAGCTTTTTTAACCCTAGTATAGCATATATTGTCTTTTGATGGTTTTGCCAAAAAAAATTAATGATAATAATAAAAAGTAAAACTATCAACATGCTTTAGATTTTAGAATAAGGGATTAATAGTTAGTCCCTGTTCGTTTCCAATTTTTTACCTTATTTTAATGAGTAATACTATTCATCTATATTGAGGATGAAAATACAGTTTATGTGACGTTAATGTGGCATTAAATGATAGGTGAAATTAAATAAGTCATTTAATTTCACCTATCATTTAACCAATCATTTACATCCACCTAGACTGTGAATGCATCCTCACTGGGGATGAATAGCATTTTTCTTTTCCTGATAGATACAAAAGTACCACTTTCCCCGAATCCCAGCTCGGACAAAATCAGCAATGCCAAGGGATGAAATAGCTGAAAATGATGATCTAATGCACCGTTTCTCTGCTTGAATTCCAACAGTAATCCAAGTGAAGGGTCAGAAACTTGCACCNTTTTTTTTGTTTATTTAAAAATATGAACGACTAATGAGTCTTTTACAAAGCTTATTATAAGAGAACATAAGTATAGCTTGTGTTTGACACCCATTTTGGGGGAAAAAAATAAATTCTGGAATGGTGATTGATGGAAGAATGTGTGGTTGCCAAATAATGAAAAGTTTTAGATTTGTTTGTAATATTATTTTATTTGGAGAATGTGTGATTGAGATGAATAAAAAGAATAAAAATGAGCGTCAAATAGGGCCATAATAATATAAATATTAAAATATTTATTGCAATTAAATCCAGACGTACTTGCAAAAATCTATAGTATTAAAAGTATCTCTAAGAGACTCTTTAAAGTTTAAACATGATATACTCTCTATTTTAAAAAGTCAACATTTAAAATCAAGTTCCAATAGACTCTTTAAATTAAAATTTTAATTTAGACACTCTTTATAATTAAATGCATTCAAAGTGTTTCAGTTTTCAATTTAGGAAAACAATAAAATAATCTAAAGAAAAGCTAGCTAAAATAAAAGATAAAGAAAAATAAAAAATATTTTTTTAGAGTAGTAAAATTAATTGTTAAATATAAAGAGTTTGTTGGAGTACTTCAAAATTTGAACTTTCTAAATTTATAGATACTCTCCAAATAATATAATATACTCTTGAAAAATAGAGAGTTTCTTGGAAATATTCTAAGGTTTGTTTGTGCTCTATATTTTTGGTTAATAAATTTTAGAATAATAATTTTTTAAAGAATGTGTGGTTAAAAAATAAAAAAATATTTTGAATTTATGTGTAAAATTATTTTTATTTTGAGAATGTGTGATTAAAAATAATATATTTTTTTTAAAAAAATGATTTTTTAAAAAACGAAGTTAAAAATGAGACTTGAGACCTGAGAGAGCATTTTCAATGATGGTGCAAAATTAGATTTATTGACATATTTAAAATCGCTTTTGGATCCCTATTTTGGTGTATCTAAATTAAAATTTTTCTCTTAGAAATATATTTAAATTCACTTTTTGCTGAATGTAAAAAAGTGTATCCAAATTGAAATAGTAGCAAGGTAGTCCTCCGTGTTCGCCTTGATGAGTGCGGCAGTCCGGTTGCTCTAGTTGGTGGTTGCTACCTGCAAAATGAGGTTGGGGCTTTCTCCCCCGTTGTACCTCCGGCGTGAGAATCAGTAACAAGTTTTGAGATGTATATATGGAATGCAATCTTAAGGGTAGACGGCCCATGTGAGCGTAGAGGACCTGCGGGGGATCGATGTCACCATGGGGGGCATTGAGTAGCGGTATTCGAGGAAAATCGTTAACACTATCCTATATCACAAATTAAAATTTTGCTCTAATAAAAATATCTAAATTCACTTTAAATGTAAAAAAAAAAAAAGAATTGAGAAAAATGATTTTTGGAAATAAGGTATCAAACACATCGACTCCGCTCCGCAATTGCTTCACTCTAAAACAATCAGCATACAAATCTTTTGAATCCATTTAAGCCTTCAATTCCTTTAAGTTTACGATGCCGGATCACATTCTTCAGACCCAAAGACTCTTTTTTGGCAGGTAAAAGTTACATAATTTTTTTCTTTTTGACAATCGTATGTTATGCCAGTTGTCGATGATGATGCATTTAATTAGGGTTTGTGATTCTGTTTTATTATTTACTGGGTTATAAATGCGTTTTACAAATTGGGTTTTTTTCTAAATGATTTTTGGGTTTTATTATGTACTGAATTTTTAGGTTTCTTGTTGGTATAAAGCTTATGAGCTTCATTTTTTTTTCTTTAATTAAAAATTCGAGAGCAATCGAGAAGAAAGGTACTTTAATGTATGTTTGGAAACTTGAAACTAAAAAAGGAATGTTGTTTGAATTAATGAATTTGACCAAAATTGGGTCTGCTAAGTAATTTGTTGCAGCTGATAATGCATATGTTACAATTAGGGTGTTAAAGGACAATCTGAAATGAAGTGATGTTTTAGGTCGATGAAATGAACTTGCAGTGTATCAGTGACCTGATTCTGCACTTTGTAAGTACGTTCAGCGGTTTGTTGTGCTGGGATACAGTTGCAGAAGTGAGCATGCTGCGAGTTTTATGTAAATACATACAGTGACTCTTTATCATAGATTCATAAGCAATTAGGACCTGCTTGTCACTGCTTCTCGGCATTGTGAACTTGCATTAATTGTGTGTAGTATTTCTGCGTGTTTGTGTAAATAGAAAATTTAGTCATTCTTGATCATGCAGTGACAAATGAGTATCAATAGTTCATTCTCATCATCAACAATGTCTGGGATGAAAACCTTGCGAAGGTGCAGGAACACCAAGGAAGCTGACAATGTTGTTCTGATTGATGTTGATTCCGAGCATTTTGACAATGTTATTATCATTGATGTTCCTGATCCTTTGCCAAAGAAATGGCGAGGTTCTAGCATGGTCGGGACAAAGGAAAAATGGCCATTAAGGACTGTAATATGCATTGATGATGATGAAAGCACTGACAAGGACCAAAATGATGATCACCGCCAAAATGTTAGTACAGAAAGCAAGAATGGGCAGCATAGGGAGCCCCCAGTTTGTTCTAGTGCTGGCAATACCAGTCATGGAAATGAAGCTCGATCTCCTTTTATTATAGAAGAGGATGCCCACTTTGATAGCACTTCTTATGGTTATAGTAAGTCTGATGGTCATGAGAGATCACATTCCGGATCCAAAGATCCTCCTTTCAACTGTGCTGAGCAGAAAAATAGCCAACATTATGAGCCAGTTAGTCTCAGCTGTTGGAATGAGGAAAGTTTGAACCCTCCAGCATCATCTTATTCTCCTTACCATGGACTGGGAACTGAGCAAGTTGATCATCCAACAATGGCTTTCCAAGATGATGAGCGAACTCGGATGAACTCTTTCCATGGGAAACCTAGTTTAGTAGAGGAAGGGGCTTCTTTGTGCAAGCGTCAAAATTCTTATGAAACTGACAGTGATGATGTCAGATCTTCTCTAACAGACAAAGAGAAGAAGCTTCAGGAGACATTTAATGGTAATATTAAGGAGAAGGAGCATCTGAAGCCTTGTGAACCATGTGCAACTAGCAATATTGTTAACAAAGAGAATTTAATTGATAATGAAGCACAATTGAAACATGACAATTCTTCAGTTGAGGCAGTGGAAAATCTTGTTGATACTGTGTCAAAAAGTATGCAAGAGGATGAAGATGATCAAAAACATATTCAGAGTGGAGGTACTGAACACGGTGTTGGGAATTGTGTCTTTATTGAACGTGAAAAGCTCAAGGAAACAGATGAATACAAAAGAGCACTAGAGCAAGAGTTGGCTTCTCGACAACAAGCATTAAAAATTCAGGTCTATTAGTTCGCTGTCTTTTTTCTTTACATTTACAACATATTTGTTTTATTTTCATAGAATTATTATGCTTAATTTGTTGTGTAGTTTATCGAGAAACTGAGGGAATTCCTATAGGAAGTTTAAGAAACTTCAACTTGAAAATTTTCAATTTCAACAGTTTAATGTTTATCATCCTGTTCTTGCTTTGGACCTTATCGTCTAGCTAAACATATTGTGTTTTGCATCTTGATCAGGCTTTGGTATTGTCTGGGTCCATTGTACTGTACTCATTTCCATTCATAGTTATAGAAGCTTCCAGCTATTGAATGAATAGTTGAGATATTGTTAATCTGCATTGGACTGAAGGGAGGGTTGGAGATTATGGGGTCTTGTGTTGCTAGCCAAGTCTGGGGAGTTGGCCTTTCAAAGCATCTTTTAGATAGGTAGCATGCTATTCCGAGACAGGAAAAGAAAATGAATAAAACAGAGTAAACAAGAGGAAAATATCTGTAGCATCAAAGTTGTTTGATAATCGATTAACATAAAAGCCATTTCAGAAAATGATGTTGCACTGAGCATGATTTGCAATGGCTTTTGCTCCTTACATCTTTTCAATTTATGTGATTTCTCCACTAAAGGATTTGGGTTACTGTCAATAGTAATATCTCGGATAAAGAAATAGGTTGCATATAATACATGTAGGCTGAAGAAGCACAATGCTTGCGGCAGTTGCGGAGGAGAAAAAAAGCTGAAAGCACACGTTTACAGGACATGGCCAAAAGACAAAAGAAGCGTGTGGAGGAAGTACGAGAGTCTCAAAAGAAGGTTTTTGAAATTCTTCTCTTTCCTCAATAGTTACAGTCCATAATTGGCCTTGAGCTTTCATAAAAATGTGGATTTTTCATTAATATACCTTTTAGGATGAGGAAAATCTCAACTTGAAGGAGGTAATACGCTCCCAGGTCAGGAAGGAGCTCAAGAAACTGGAAATGACGTGCTGCAATATGGCTTCGCTGTTGCATTCCCTGGGAATCCAAGTGGGTAGTTGGCCTTGTCCATCACCAAATGAGGTCGGTGAGACTTGTTATACTTCTTTAATACATATCAACCATTGTCACTATAGCGTGACAAGTTGTCAATGATTCTACTTGTTTTGTGGATTACCTTATGGAGCTCTAGCTCCTTTTTAAGGGTATAACTGTTAAATTATGATGAATAAATGAATATTACCATGTAACTTTTTAGCAATGTCATTTTTTTCTGTGTTTTTATCCAAGAAGGATTTATCCAAACCAATTATCTAATCATTCCCTTGAATTTGTGGGGCATCTTTCAAGTGTGAGATAAAGTTATAGAAAAATCAATTCTAATCAATAACGCTACTAAGATGTTCAATTGTATGTCTTCTTGCTTGCATTACAACACCTGAAACTTGTAATTTGGTTGCTATCATCATAGTCGGTCCAAAAATTCTAGGTTTTTCCATTCATTTTTAGTACTCTGTGCGTGCTTGTGCGTGGTATTTTCCTCCTGTGCTTGCCTGGGGGCCTTTTTCTTACTATGTCGTTGCCCTCATTGCATTCCCTTCCTTTGTGCTTCCTTTAACTTGTGTCATCTGGGGTTATGCCACAAGGCATTATTTACTGTGAGATCAGATTGCTCATAAAACATGTTCTTTAGTTTGTTGTGCTAGCCGTATTTAAAGGGAAGAGGGGGATGTTGACTAAATTTTTGGTGTCATTTTGTGAATCCTCGTTTTTTCTGATTTAGTGCTTGTTTGGGATTGGTTTGAAGTGGTTATAAGTTGTGGGTCCGTCCTATGGGATGTGTGGATAACAAGTGGATCCTATGAAATGTGTAAATAAAAGGTATATTTCACCGACTTAAATAAAAAGTTAAGCTTTGCCAAACAGGCTATTAGCGTTTAGTGGTCATATTTGTGGATATTGACTACTCCAACTATTACCGATTATCATCTTTGACCAACAAAAAGAATTACTTATTTTAAAATTTACTTCTTTACTTTCTAAACAAATTTTTAAGCTTAGTCAAACATGCACTTCGGGATTGATCACTGACATTTGATGAAATTCCAGGTACAGGCGGCTTACAAACGAGCATTGCTGAAGTTTCACCCAGATCGAGCTCCGCAATGTAACATTCGTCAACAGGTTGAAGCTGAGGAGAAATTTAAGCTTATAAATCGTCTCAAGGAGGTGCTTCTACCATCTTGACGATGCTTGAGCAAGTTAATCATTATAGCATCGTAAACCATAAATTCTTCACGAGGCCGAGTATTATTGTAAACATGCTTTCCATGCTTGAGATATTTCGAGAAAGAAGCCATTAGTTACAGTCAGGCTCTAATGGGGTTGGAAAGCATTCTTTTGTTTGTAAGATAATTGATTATTTACTCCTGGCTTGTAAGTGATTTCCCTATGATTGTGTAAGTTTCTTGTCGGATGCTCGACATTTGTTGAACTTGTGTCATGTCTGTTGGTTGAAGAAATGGGAAGTATTTTGATGAAGACAAAATAATAACTCGACTTAATTTCGGGTTTGTTCGTTTTTGACGAATTGCTAGTCTAATTTGATTGGAAACGGGCCAATGATCACAACCTAGGGCCTTTGGCCCTAATGCACGTCAAATTTTGGGCAAATTCCATCGTTTAGGCCCTCAATTAAGCGTTTTTGGCATTTATGGTAATTTTTGTTTTGGCAATATCTTAGTCAAGTAAACTCGGATTTGATTTCCTTTTGTTGGGGGATGATCCTGATGATTAGAAGAATCAAGATCCGTCATTATCTCAATTTTTTCCATTTTTGATATTCTAGTCTACTTCTAAGTAGGTAATCCTAGTAGTAGTGAAGAAAAGGAAGAAATAGAGGTTTTCTTGCAACTCTGATTGAGATGTTAACACCACTATCTTAGGGTATTGACATCCTATACAAGGGTGTCGACAGCCTCAAAATAAGGTGTTTGTACCACGAGAAAAACTACCTCGGAATCTGATTTTATTTTTTTTTCTCAAATTTCAATCAAAACTTCATTTTGAAACCTTTGAGTCAATTGGTAGGAAGATAATATTACATTCATTGTAATACTTGAAACCTATCTTCTTTTCATAAAAATATGAGGAATGGAGGTGAAAGATAGGATATACCTTGCTGAAAATTTGTAAGAACGCTATGAAACGTGCTTTATGCAGTAGTAGTAAAGACGATTTTTGAGTTAGGTAAAATGAAAATGAGAGCAATAGCTTCAATAGAGTTCTTTCATGAAATTTAGGGCTTTGCTTGGTAGAAGAGAATTGTTGGAGAAGTAGAGAGATGTAACTTAAATAAAATGACGCAAGACAACTTACCTTTTTAAGTTGTCACTTCGAAATTGAATATTGCTCTCTTTTGAGTATATAGTTGCTCTTTATCAAGAAAATATTTTGTAGGATATATGAGTGATCTTGTAAGTGAAATGGTGTATCATTCATACCAGGGGCGGAGCCAGCTTGTTGAAGTAGGGGGGTCCTAGAGTTGAAGGGACGGGAGGCTCACGGGGGTT